ATGCATAAATATAAATACATAAATGTGAATACATAAATACAAATACATAAATACAAATACATAAACATAAATACATAAATATAAATACATAAATATAAATACATAAACATAAATACATAAATATAAATACATAAATATAAATACATAAATATAAATACATAAATATAAATACATAAATATAAATGCATAAGTATAAATACGTAAGTACAAACACATAAGTATAAATACACAAATAAAAATACGTGAATATAAACACATAAATATAAGTGCATAGACACAAATACAGAAATATAAATACGTCGATATAAATAAATATAAATACAGAAATACAGACACACAAATACAAACAAATGAAAACAAATACATAAATATAAACACATGGATACAAATATATAAACACGAATACGTAAACATATATGCAAAGACATACAAATTAATATTTTCACTGCTACAACTCAATTCGCCATTTTCGAAGGCCTCCACCCCTCATAGAAAAAGAAGACTGAAGAGGTTTTGATTTTTGGCCCGAAACAAAAAGAATCGGTAGGACGCTCTTATGGAACTACGTGGATAAGAGAGGCTCAAAATAGAGAAGAATGGAGAAGTTGCCGGCTGCATCAATGGCGAGAAAAATTCCGATGATGAAACAACCAGTAGATAGTTGAAAGATTTTTTCCTTTGTGTGAGAATTTGTCACAGATCAGCTCACCAAGTAGCAATTGCTAAAACTCGGCTCGGCAGTGTAAAATGAACTCGCTTTTAGTGAAAATCTACACATCTGTGGATGCTTGGGGGGATGCGGAAGTACTGGATTTTTCGCTCTACAAGTACAGGATTTTTCGCATCATCCAGGACTTGGAGTGCAAGGATGGACTCACCAGCTTTCACATAACATCTAATTAAAGGTTGAAAAGGAAGTATCAGGAGAAGAAGGAAACAATGAAAAGGAAGAGAAGGATAATAAAATGGGAATGGGGTCTAAAGAAATATTTGTTATAGGTAAAAAATGTTTCGGTCCATTAAGTCGTATACATTTCTTATCGTTACCACAATTGGACCTCGTCAGTACGACGATTGTGGTAACAAAGATAATTTAGTCAGCGTCCTGAACCCATTGCCCTGCATAGCGCCCTAAACCCAAATAACCCCACTCTTCTCCTAGGATCTCAACCCCTCTCCCATTCATTTTTACCTCCAAGGAAGGTCTCAGCTCCTTTCCAGCCACAATATCCCACTCTCATGCCCTCATTACGAATCTTCCGACCGAAACCCACATCCAGCCCTCCCCCTCTCATCCCTTCTGTACTACCCCACAATCAAGGAGGGGATACTGACTAGAAAGGAGCTGAGACCTTCCTTGACCATGTACCACGATTGCCGCAACTCATCCCTCAACCCAGCTGAGCCGAGCCGAGTTTTAGTAATTGTGCCTATTTCACTGACCAAATCCATAAGTACCACATTACCCCGTCCCTCGCCTTCTTCAAGAATGTCCCAAATCGGGCGACTTTGGTGGTGCAAAAACAACCGAGGAGAAATCACGTCGCGACCACGTGACGCCCATCACGAAAACGTAAACACGGATTCAGCAAACGTACTCATTTACGTCCAAAGGCCACAATTAGCTTAGATTTTCAACAAATTTCACGGAT